ACCTAATGTCGCTTTCAAAATAAAAGAAGAAGTACAAAAGTGTTGAAGCTTAAGGTTTTGATGATGATGAACTTAAACTAAAGCAAACTCTACTAATAAAGGTTTTTAAGTGTTGGATTATTTTAGGTGAAATTGATCTTGGTGATGGAAGAAGTAACTTAAGCTAAGAAGACTAAAGGAGCCTTTAAACATAAAGTTAAATCAAATTAAAGAAGAGTTCTCTAACAAGAACTAAGTTTTCTAACAGGAACGTTCCCTAACAGGAACTTGAAGACAGCAAGCTGAGGTGTTAGCCTGGACTGCGAGTAAAGATAGTAAGTTCCTTTAGGAACTTAGCCTGCGTGACGCCCAAGTAATCTTCCGTACAGAATGAGGCGCAACAATATTATTTAGCTAAGATTTTATCTTCTAGATTTATTGTTAAATATATTAAGTAGGTTATGCATGATATTTATTAGAAGCGTGACAAGTTGCTTGGTAAATAAAGATAAAATTGGAAAAGATAAAAAGATAAATTTTATGAAAAGATTTTATTTAAAATTGGTTTCTTAAAATCATTTTTAAAAGATTTTATTCTATATCTTGTTATCTTATTTTCCGGAAAAGATTATCTTCTAAATATGATTTACTTAAAATCGTATCTTGAAGATAAGTTAAGTTAACTTATTTATCTTTTAGAAAACCTACTTACTATACAAGTCATACTTGTATAAATAGTAGATATTGAAATGGTTTAAGGTTTTTGTGAATTTTATGCGTGAAGAAATCACAGAGCATCAATTGAGTAAGTTTACCAAGCTTCTAATCTTGTCATATTAGCTTCGAATTTTGTGCATAGCTTGCCTATCATATAATAGGTGTCATACACTTGTATTGGTTTGGGCTATTTGGGTGAGTTTGTTATTTTTATATCGCATACAGATTGTGTAAGCTTCTAGTGTGAAGCTAAGAGTTTTGTACTTTGGTAGTACGAGTGAATCTAAGTGTGGGACTTAGATTGGGTAGAATAGGGTCCTATCGAGTAGCAAGTTCTGTATGGAACTTGTGAATAAAGGTCTGTGCATAATAGGTTGTAACTTGGTATTTGCCATATTATAGTGAAGTGGTTTGTGTTTGAAATCCCTAAGGTAGGGTCGAGGTTTTACTTCTAGTTGGGCCCTGGAAGGTTTCCTTGTAAACTCTGTGTGTCTTTGCAAGTTCCTATTTTTTTGTTTTATTATTCCGCAAAAGTAGTGTAGACACCTAAAAATGTCTCCCCAAAACCAAACTCGATGATAAATAACCTTTCACCGCCTTTATTGGTCGGGTTTAGTATTTAATCCCGAGAGTGCTTAAAAAATCGTATTTTGTTAAATTCATATTTTTGAAAGGTCCATGGATTAGTCTTGATGTTTGGTAAAAGCATAGTTTTAATTTTAGCCCAAGCTTATTAATTAATTTTAAGCCCAAACCTTTTTATTTTATTAATTTATTATTTATTTTTGGCCCAAACATTTTATTTATTTTTATTTTATTATTTTCTTATTTTAGCCCGGATAATAAAATTCAGAAAAAAAGCCCGAAATTATCAATCGACACTTAAAAAGCCGAAAGAAATTAGGGTTAAAAATGAATTTAGATGGAAAAATGGACTGGAAGTGACCATGTCACGGTACAGTCTAACCGTGTCACGGGAACCCTTCCCGTCTAACGGTGGGACTTCCCTTGACACGGGAGGTCTGCCGTGACACGGCACGTTCCGTGTCCTTTCCGCGTATACCCTTAATGCGTTTTTCATTCCGTTTTCTGAAAATTTCCCGCGTCACTCCAAAAGTGTACCGTGTCACGGGAAAGTGTACCGTCTGACGGTACAGTCTGACCGTGTCACGGGATACTTTTTTAGGGTTTTTATCATTTTAGGATTCCGTGTGCTTCCTCGGCACATTTTCCCTATAAATACCCCCTCATTTCTGATGTACGGGGCAACCAGAATTTTATTATTCTTATTTTCTCTCTTCTATGCTATTAACCTAAACACTAGCCTACCCTTTTTACTTCAAAATTCCTTCTTCAAACACTCAAAGGATTCTATATTTTACTCGAGGTTCTGTCCTTAAGCCAAGGCGTGATAGGTAGAATCGTTTGAGGGTTTGGCCCCAAAATCAACTTTATTTTATTTAGTTTAATTTAGTTATTGTTTTATTATTTCCTTAAAGTTACTAACTCGTTTATTATTTTGTAGTTGCAAGCAAACAGATTCAAAGTAAGGATCATGCTCTTTTTATTATTATTATTTTTTTTTCTAACGATTTTTATGTTGTTGGAATTATGATTAAATTGCTTCCAATATTAATGTTTTTCTATTATTATTTTTATTGATCACCATATTGCATGTTTAAAGGGAATATGTAATTGAAAATCACGCCTAATAAGATAATTTGGACAACCGGCTTAGGTTCCTTTTTAATCTTGTTATTAAATCAAGTGATCACAATATTTTAGAATTATGTGTTGCATTAATATTCAACCAATTTAGCATAATAATAGTTTGGAGAAAATTGAATTTTTGTTTGTATTCCTTTGAGATCGCAGGAATCACTTTTCACTATAAGAATCGAGTAGAGGCCAATACGGGCGAATGTGACTCCATGACTCACTTCGTACCATCATCCCCGATCCTCCTTTCGTGGTTCCGAACCATATGGAGTTAGTAATCTCATGGATTATGAATGGGGTGTAACCTTCACAGGTCAATCGTTGTTGCCTTCGTTGTCCCTTATCGTGGTTGCCTTTTTATGATCCGTGAACGGTTTACAAGTTCCTTAAATACTTGTTGGCGGCTCCCTACTTTATTTGTCCCTAATATTTGTCCCTAATCGTAATGTTAATTCCCACTTCCTATGAGTGCCAAGCATATTCACACATGCTTTTATGTAGGCGCACTTCAAACGACGCCTACAAGTAGTCATTAGGAACTCGATACAATTCACCTTCCTCTTATATTAATCGTCTCAACTAACAATTGGTATTAGAGCAAGGTTCTCACGTGTAAGCTGATAACTTTGCTGAGTAAGTTCATGGAGACACTACCACAAAATAGGGAATTAGTAACACATAATACACAACGGTCGAGTTGCACAGGCGATCTCTAGAATTATACAGATTGCCTATGTAAGATAGGCGCTTTGTATGTTAAAACCTATAGAGCGCCTATCTAAGTTAACCGTTCTATATGACAAATTCATATTTACACTAAACAATATAGAGCGCCTGTTTTAGTTAACCGTTCTGTAAGTATAATAATTTTAAAAAAATAAATAAATTTTTTTTTTGAAAGTATCATAAACACACCCACGACCCACCTAACCCTAAAATATACGGAGTACTACAATGTATCAAGTAATAGCCGCCCCCTATCTTCTTCTCTTTCTTACTCCTCTTTCTAGATCATCATCCCCTTTCTCTCTCCTCTTCCGCCTTCTTCTTCTCTCTCTCCTCAAATCCCCACACTTTAGCATCTCACACCCACAAATCCAAACACTGTAGGCAAGCTTTTCACGCACACCGTTGATCCATAAGCCACCATCAAGCCATTAGCCCCCGTTGTGCAACGAGCATCCACCACCGTGCCACGAGCCACCGTTGAGCAACGACCGCCCACCACCGTGCCATGAGAAGTCGATTCGAGCATTCAATTGGTCAAGGTTTTTCAATTTCTTTAAATTTTGTTTATAATTTAATTTTCTGATTATAATTTATTTGTTGTTTAGTTATTACTTAGATCTAATTTTACTTTTTGTTATACATTTGATATAATCGATCCTGTTAACTTTTGGGCGGTGTGCGAATTTTCGTGTGTAGTGGGCTTTGCAGGTGGTGGTGTGTGTCGTGGGGGGTTGTGTCGCAATGGGGGGTAGTTGGTGGTGGGGGTAGATCATAGTGGGGTATGGCGGGTCGTGGCGTTGGTCGTGGGTGGTTTGCTATTTTGGGAGTGAGTTTTCATTTTCTTTTATAAATTTTAGATCTCAAATTTCAGATTTTCATCTTTAGATTTGGTCTTATTTTTAGATTTTCTTAATTATTTTTATACAATATGGTCAATTCTGTTTATTTTGTTGATTTTGCTATGTATTGTTTCCCTATTTTCTTGAAGTGTATAAAATTTTAATTTCTTGATTTTTTAACATTTTATTTAGTAGGTGACAATGTCATTGTTTTTTTTCACAGCAAGTTGCCTTTTGTGGGTGTTTGATGCGACTGCTCTGGTTTTTATGCGGCGTTTTATGGTTGTTTGGTGCGACTGTTAAGTTGGATGGTTAAGGTGGTTGCAAGGACTGGAATCGTGGTGGTGGTTTTTATCGGCACCTTTAATGCTTATGAGTCTTAGGGAGTAATTATTTATTATTTGTAATGTTTTTTTTAATGGAGGACTTAAGTTTATTGTAAGCTAGTGAACTATTGTATTTTTAATGTACTTGATAAATAAAAAGTTATGAGTATCATAAATTTCATAATAACATCGTGCTTATTTTTTATGTTACATATATGAATTCAGAAATGTTATTATTATTATTATTATTATTATGATTTTATTATAATAATAATAATAATAACAATAATAATAATAATAATAATAATAGTTTTTTTTAAAAAAAAAATAAAGAAAAGAGAGGCTTATCTATTGTTCTCTTTTTATATAGTTATAGAACGCCTATCTTAAGATGACAACTCTCTTTTCCTAGTTTTTTAATTAATATGTACCTAGAATATGAAGCTCCTATCTAAGATAGGCGATCTGTATTATGTTAGATATAGAACGCCTCAAAGAGGCGTTCTCTAGACTTTATAGGGCACCCCCTCAGAAAAACGCCTCTGAGGCGTTCTATATTCCTTATTTTAGGCGCTCTATATTCCCATTTTTGTAATAGTGAGAGATGAATTTCAAGGAGAAACTTGAAGAAGGATATTCCACCCAACGCCCTCCCATGTTCAACGGTAAGCTTTACACCTACTAGAAGAACATGATGGAGATCTTCATCAAGGCAGAAAATTACCAGGTTTGGCGTGTTATTGAATCTGGTGATTTTGAAATAACCTCAACAAATGAAAAGAACGAGGTAGCTCCTAAACTTATATCTGATTATGATAAAGAAGATTATCAGAAAGTTGAATTGAATTCTTTAGCCATAAAGTATTTACATTGTGGACTTGGACCCCATGAACATAATCGTATCATGGGATGCAAGTCTGCTAAACAGATTTGGGATCTACTGGAGGCAACTCATGAAGGTACTAATGAGGTAAAATGTTCTAAGATTGACTTATTGATGTCTAGATATGAAAGGTTTGAAATGCAATCTAAGGAATCTATAGAGGAAATGTTTACTAGGTTCAATGATATTATTAATGAGTTGAATTCCCTTGGCAGACACATTCCTATTGATGAACAGGCAAGGAAGATCTTAAGGAGCCTACCACAGGATGAATGCTGGAGATCCAAGGTCACTGCCGTGAAGGAAGCTAAGGACTTCACCAAGTTCAACATGGAACAATTAGCTGGATCATTGATGACTCATGAACTTCATCTGAGTTCCAATACTAAAAGTTCCAAGAACAAGAGTCTTGAACTTAAGGCTCAAGACTCAGAGGAATCATATTTTGATGAGGATGAGATGGCAATGCTTGTAAGAAGGTTTAAAAAGATGATGAACAACAGGAAGTTCGATAGGAACAAGAAGTATACAAGTTCTAAAAACATAACTTGTTTCAAGTGTGGTTCTAAAAATCATTTCATTAAGGATTGTCCAGTACAGGATGCTGATAAAGGAAAGACTAAAGGCAAGGAGCAATCCAAGGAGTTAAGAGTCTACAAGCCTTACTTCACGAAGGATAATGTGAAGAAAGCTATGCTAGCTGCCTGGGGAGATTCAGATTCAGAGGAAGAAGAGGACCAACCATCGGAGGAAACTGCCCATCTATGTTTGATGGAAAAAACAGATGAAAAGGCAAAACTGAAGGAACTGGAATCTGAGGTATGGTTTTCTCAAAAAGATTTAAAACATTTCTCTAGAGATAATTTGATATGTGCTATGTTGGATATGCAAGAAGAATTAAAGGATTTATATAAAGCCAAACAGCTAAGTGATGAAGCTTTAAAAACTTACAAAGAGAACAATGAGTGGATTGACAACATGAAGTTTGACATTCAATATAGGTTTTTTAGTCTGTTTGATGATAATAAAATTCTAAAAGAGACTATTGATAGGTTGAAACATGATAATATAATGTTGAATGTGGAACTTTCTTTAATGAAACTTTGTCTTGATACTCCTAATTCTGAAGTTCCTCCACTTGCACAATATCCGAATTTTGAAAAACTAAAATCTGATTTGGAAGATCTAAGATCGGATAAAGCACGACTTGAGAGGGAACTTGAGAAAGCTAGGAAAGGCAAACAACCTATAGAATACAGAGTTCAAAATTGGATCACTAAAGCTCAAACCAAAAGAACAAAAGGATTGGGTTTCAAAAAGAAATTCCAAAAGGAAAAGAAGTATGTTGACCTACTTAGTAGTATTGTTTGCTATTTCTGTGGAAATACAGGACATAAACAGGTTAAGTGTCCTAATAAAGAAAAGAGTACACAGAAAAATGAAAAACATGTTGAACAAATTTGGGTTATGAAAAAAAATCCCACTCATGTTACAGAGGAACCCAAGGAAACCTGGGTTCCTGATACTAATGTTTGATTCTTCATGCAGGTTCCAGTGAGGGGGAACAACATCTGGTACCTCGACAGTGGTTGTTCTAAGCACATGACTGGAGACAAATCTAGATTTCTCTCACTAGATGCCTACTATGGGGGAACTGTGACCTTTGGTGACAACAAGAAAGGAGATATAGCTGCTATTGGCAAAGTAGGAAGGTCAAGTTCCCATGCTATTGATAATGTATTTTTGGTCGAGGGTCTTAAACACAACTTGTTAAGTATTTCACAATTTTGTGACAAAGGTAACTATGTAATCTTTACTTCTAGTAAATGCAGAATCATTCACAATGACACTGGGAACATTATTTTAGAAGGAACTCGTAAAGGGAACACACATGTTTTTGATCTTAACGAGGTTCTTAACAGCAGTTTAACGTGTCTTAGTGTTATTGAGGATGGTCCTCTATTATGGCACAAGATATTTGGCCATGCAAGCTTTACTTTACTTGATAAGATTAGATCTAAGGAACTAGTGGAAGAACTTCCTTGCATTAAGTTCCTGTATGACAAAGTGTGTGATGCTTGTGTTAAAGAAAACAAACTAGAATTTCTTTCAAGTCCAAGAAAATGGTAAGCACCAAAAGACCTTTGGAACTTATTCATATGGATCTATGTGGTCCTATAAGAATCCAACAAAAGTGGTAAGAGATATGTAATGGTTATTGTTGATGATTTTTCAAGGTTTACTTGGGTTTTCTTTCTTGTTAGAAAAGATGAAACATTTGATGAATTTGTAGCCTTTGTAAAGAAAGAACAGAGAAGAGCAGGTAATCCATTGATTCACCTTAGATCAGATCATGGAACTAAATTTGAAAACTCAAAATTTGATGAGTTTTGCACTGAGCATGGAATGGATCACAACTTCTTTGCACCAAGGACTCCAAAACAGAATGGAGTGGTGGAACGCAAGAATAGAAGCCTTGAAGACATGGACTGAACAATGCTGATCTCAAGTGGAATGCCTAGGAACTTTTGGGCAGAGGCAGTGAATACAGCATTTTATATTCCAAACAGAGTATCTATTAGAGCCATCACCAACAAAACTCCTTATAAGCTAATCAAACGGAGAAAGCCAAATATCTCTTATTTTAGGTCTTTTGGATGTAGATGTTTTGCTCATAACAATGGTAAAAGGAACTTGGGAAATTTTGATGAACGTAGTGATGAGGCGGTATTCTTAGGATATGCCTCAAATAGTAAAGCTTATAGAGTTTATAATAAGAGAACAATGTGTGTTAGAAACCGGACATATTATATTTGATGAAACTGAACAGTTAACTGATGTACAGAATTGTGATTTTTAAATTAGACTTGTGCGCAAGCCAGATCCAGATGAGGAGTCAACATCATTGCAGAAGCAGTAAGCTGAAAATGTAGAAGAAATGAATCCATAAGCAAATGTAGAACTTGAAATAGAAAATGCACTAGGAACTCCACATCAAGAACAAAATCAAGACCAGAATGAAGAAAATCTTGTTGAAGTTCGAACTGAGACTCAAGACCAAGTTCCTACAGAAGAACTAGTTAACAATAATCAGGAAAGATTGTATCCAGTCAAGGACTTTACACCAAAGCGATGGAAACATCATAAATCACATCCTCTGGATGCAATAATGAGTGATATTACAAAAGGAACTCAGACTAGATCTCAGCTTAGAAACTTCTGTGCATTCTATGCATTTCTTTCGTCTATGGAACCTAAGAACTATGTTGAATCTTTAACTTACGCAAACTAGATTAATGCTATGCAAGCTGAATTAAATGAGTTTGAAAGAAATAAAGTATGGCATTTGGAACCTAGAACCAAGGATAAGAAGACTATTGGGTTAAAATGGGTGTTTAGGAACAAGCTAGATGAGCATGGTATTATTTTCAGGAACAAGGAAAGACTTGTTGTACAAGGCTTCAATCAACAAGAAGGAATAAACTATGAAGAGACGTTTGCTCCTGTAGCCAGGTTAGAAGCTATTCGTTTACTCATTGCTTTTGCTGCTTATATGGAATTCACGTTGTTCAAAATGGATGTTAAATGTGCATTTCTAAATGGATTCTTAAATGAAGAAGTTTATGTGGAACAACCTCCTGGATTTGAAAATCCAGAGTTCCCAAACCATGTCTATAAGCTTCACAAAGCTCTTTATGGGCTGAAGCAAGCTCCTAGAGCATGGTATGAAAGATTGTCAAAGTTCCTATTGAAAAATGGTTTCAAACGTGGTAAAATAGATAAAACTTTGTTTTTAAAATCAAATGGAACTGACATATTAGTTGTACAAATTTATGTCGACGATAATTTATTTGGTGCAACTAATGAATCTTTGTGCAAGTATTTTGCTGACCTTATGAGTGGAGAATTTAAAATGAGCATGATGGGAGAATTAAACTTCTTTCTCAGTTTGCAAATCAAGCAAACTGAAGAAGGAATCATGATCCATCAACAAAAATATATCAAGGAACTGATCAAGAAGTATAAGCTAGAAAATGCTAAGACTAATAGCACTCCAATGGGTATAGCAACTAGATTAGATGAAGATCCAACTAGAACTTGTGTTGATCAATCTATGTATAGAGGTATGATAGGTTCTTTACTTTATCTAACAGCTAGTAGACCTGACATATCTTTTAGTGTAGGTTTGTGTGTCAGGTTCTAAGCAAACCCAAAGGAGTCTCACTTAAAAGCAGTAAAGAGAATTCTTAGATACTTGAAAGGAACTGATGATTTGAGTCTCTTCTATCCTAGAAATGACTCCTTTGATTTAAATGGCTTTACTGATGCTGACTATCCAGGATATTTGGTCAATAGAAAAAGCACTTCAGGTATGGTACAATTTTTAGGACTTTGTTTAGTTTCTTGGGGTTCCAAGAAGCAAAACACAGTTGCAATGTCTACAGTTGAAGCTAAGTACGTGGCAGCAGTAGCATGTTGTTCACAAGTACTGTGGATAAAGCAACATGTTAGAGATTTTGGTATTATTTTTGAATGTGTGCCTATTTATTGTGATAGTACCAGTGCTATATGTATTTCTAAGGATCCAGTTCAACACTCAAAGGTAAAACATATCCACATTAGGCATCACTTTCTAAAACATAATGTGGAGCAAGGGAATATTAAGTTAGAATTTTGTCATACTGAAAATCAAATTGCAGATATTCTAACCAAGCCCTTGAGCAGAGAAAGGTTTGAGAAATTGAGACTGGAACTTGGGATGATCAAGCTGAATTGATCTCTTATGAAGTTCTAAGATATGGAAAAGTAAAAAATAATGTAAATAGAGCTAAAAGAGCATTTAGCACAATCTTGGTGTGCTAAACATAGCTAAAGTGTCACCGTTGTTAATTACTAGAGATAAGTTCATTAAAACGCTTAATTGTGTAAGTTATTAATTATGTACATTGCACATGTGTAGAAAGCGTGTTCTAAGTGTGTGTTTATATTTTTAGAAAGTTTGTTTTTTTTTGGAAATTAAATGAATTTGGAAAGGAAAGGATTTTGGCAAATTCATCCTGTTAATTTAAAATTGAAAAAATTAATTGAATTTGTTCAATTAATGACTGAATCCTGAAATCTCTTAAAATCCCTCACACCGCTTCATTAAATATAAAAGCATATTTCACCTACCTCTTTCACCTCACTGTCAAATAAATTTAACCCCTTTGCAGTAAAAACCCTCCTAAAAGTTAAAACCATCTCTAGAACACCACGGTCATCATTGCTGAAATCGTCTCATCAGAAAACTCAGAAAGCTTCGAAAACACCATTCAAGAGGAAACATCTCCATTAGCCATGGTGAACTACAAACCCTCTTCAACTTCAACCAAAACCCCTGAAAATCCTAAAAACTCATCATCTAAACCTAAAGAAGTGGAAAGTAAGAGTGACCAAGAAGAGTCATCTGTTTCAAGTGTCCTTCAAAGGTTGAAAGAGTGGAAAGAGAAGAAACAAAAAGAGAAGTCACTTGAGGAGCAAAAAGAATAAGTTGACGAGTTTGCTCAAGGGAAATATTCAGAAGAGACCAAAGAGGATGACGAAGAAGGAGGAGAGATGAATGAGGAAGAGGAAGACAAAGAAGATCACAACAATTCAGAAAATGTAGAATCAGAAAAGGAAGATGAAGAAGAGGATGTAACTGATGAAGCCGAACTTGAATCACAGGCAGGGAGGTATGTTGTAGGACATCGTATTGATCTACATTGGTGTAGGAAAGCTAGATTCTTAGAGTTTCTTGATTTGATTAAGTTCCAAGGTTGGGAATAATTTTTATCGAAAGTTTCAGCAAACTATTTGTATCCAATTGCTATGACTGAGTTTTGTCAAAATTTTCAAGCAAAATTGGGGGTAATTTCTAATGAAGTCGATGGTGTAAAAATTAAATTAAATGTTGAAACCTTAGGTAAACTTATGAAAACTCCAACTGAGGGGTATAAAACTTACATTAAGGGTAAAGCTAGTGTTAAAGTAGGAAATTACTTGGCTGGTGACATTGTTGAAGCCCTTGGTGGTCAAAGGGGGAAGAAGATTATGAGTCATAATGATTTGAGCCCATTGAACAAGATGTTGTTCAATTTAGTTAAGAAAACCATCTTGCCAAGAACTGCAAAGAAGGGAGAAGCATGCTTGATGGATATGGCTGTAATTTTCTGTTTGTCTAAGAAAATTAAAGTAAATTTTCCTGCATTGATGTATCAGCACTTAGCACATTGTGTTCCAAGTAGGACAAAAGTGGGCTATGGAGCTATTTTGTCAACTGTGTTTGAAAATGCTGGAGTAATTTTGAAGGGTAGGTATGGTGCTCTGGATGAGAAGCCAGAGAATGTGCTAAATGAGGAAACTCTAGCTGGACTGAGTTTGGAGGTAGTAAAAGGAAAATTCAAAGAATAGAGAAGGGAGAGAAAAAGAAAGAAAAAGTGACGAGGAAAAGGAAAGAGAAAGAGGTGTCTGAGCAGCCTGTAAGGAAGAGAAGGAGGATATCTGCTAATTTTGTTCCTCAGACAAGCATGGAATAGCCTCTGGAGTTGGATGTTGAGGAGGGTATCCTAGATGGGCTAGTTGCAGAACTGGTGGATAGGATGGAAAGGGTTGAGAAACAAATGAAGGATTCTACTGGAAAACTTCAGATGTTAACCCTGGAAAAGCTTGTGCAGGAGCAAGGAAAGGAATTTAAAGAGCTCAAGAAGCTAGAGCTGAAACAGGACAAGGAACTTCAAGAGAAAAAGAAGTTTATGCAAGAACAGGACAATGCTCTACAAGAACAAATGGAGGAGTTCCAACAGAAACTCAAGAGTCTTGAAGACAACTTAGAGGCTTCTGCACAACAAACAAAGGAGGACTATAAGAAAATTGTGGAGTTTCTTGAGACCTAGCCTACCATATTCTCAATCTACCCCTTTCTAGCCTATATCCAACCTAGCCTATTTTCCGCTTCTCTATTTCAATCATGCACAATTTTAATTTCTGTTTTAGTGTTTAAACAATTAATTTTGGTTGTAATATTTTCAAATTGTTTAGCAGGATGATAAATCTGTTGGTATTAATGAATAGTTGGAGCTTTGCCTATACTTGTGTGTATGTGTATGTGTTAAACACTTATGCAGAAAAGTGGAACTTGTTTAAGGTAAATTAGCAGCGCTTCCTTCAATTTTTCACACTCGATGAATTGCTTGTGGGGATGTAGCTAGATGCTTAATAAACTTGAAAAAAGCAAGACTTTTTGATAATGCCAAAAGGGGGAATAGAGGAAGCAAACTTGGAAGTTGAAGTTGTTCTGGGTTCTAGTTGATAAAGTATCAGAAATTTCTTCTGATATGATGCCAAGTAGCTTGGTTTATCTCTTAGTTTACTTCTTAGTTTTATTTATGTTTTGTTCTGTTTATTTATGCTTTTCTTATTTTTGTATGTTTAATTTCAGTTGTGTGTTTACTTTTTGTCAATAAATCAAAAAT